CACTTTTCTTCCAAAAAATTTACTTGTTTTCTTTTCGGTATCCATATGTAGAGCCAAAGCGTAAACACACGATAATTTTAAGATGGAGCCGTCGCGCATGGGGTGGGCATATGCTTCAAAAAAGTTTCTCCCTAATTTTGCTGGTTGCAGAGTTGAAAGTGGATGACAAAATGTGAACCCACAAACGCAGACAACCTCTTTCCAATATGTGTCTTTGCACAGGCATTGCGAAAAAGTAAAAAAAAAAAAACCGGAGTTTTCAATTCAGTTGAATTTTAGGTCAAAATTTTTTTAAAAAAAGTGCAAAATTAGAGATGGTGCCGGTTAAGCAAAGATTTGTAACAACAGCAGAGTTTTCAGATTTATGGGGTAGTCGGCAATACAATTGAAAACGGCGTCAAAGGCAAGTTTAATTTCTCAAAAAATCTTACTGCATAAATGGATGTGAAATGCTGCATTTGAGAAAGTATATTCGAGCAAAATTTAACGCTTCTGACTTTAACAGGAGTTCTGGTTCACACCCTTATCAGCTAGCGTCTATCATTATAGCCGTTTTTAATTCAAAACATATTGTCGTCCCCTATGATGACAGGCTGCGTCTGTTTAATTTGTTAGAGATTGCCTCCACGGAGGTGAAAAAACACCCGAGTAATTTGTGGGATGACTGTGCAAGTGATTGTGCGAATATTCTGGAACTGAAAAAAGTGTATTCCAGGCGAACCCACACTGGAATGTGCTGCGGATAGTATGTCCATCAATTTCACCACGCAAAAAGAATTTGAAGGACACGTCTACGTGAAAGGCCATTACGATGATAGCTTATGCCGGGTGGATGCAACGCTCAAGAAGCACGTTAATCTCACGGTACCATTCTCGGTGTGCGATGTGCGGAGACAGCGATCGGTCTGTTTTCTTTTTACGCAATTTCGCATCACTGGTGCAACAAAAACACATCACGACGGCTCCTTCGACTGAACTGAAAGACCAATATTACTAATGTTAGGGTGCACATATCAAAATGTGAAGCAGTGAGCGCTCCTACCCGTTTTTATTGCCACAGTAAACTGTGCAGAAACGCACGATCACACCAGCAGGCTGTCAGTTATTGATTTTTGTAAAGATTTTAGTGTCTCGCACAAAAAAATAGCCTGCTTCATGTCTTTTAATAAATTCAAGATGGCAAACAGATTCTTGCTGCAGATATGCAATTTTAGAGCAACCCGAGAGGATTATATGTGTGCGTTACAGTTATCATCACATTTCATCCGGTAAGTTTTCAGCTTGAAAACTGTGATTCCATGGAATCATTTCGCAAAACAAATTTACAAACAAAACAAAATTTACTCTTCTGGTCTTGCTTACAGATGTTCATCACTAAGATTGACAAATCGTATCATATCAAATGTTTTTATACAGAAACGGATCGCATTGTGACTACGCGTCTGGATGTCAGGTAACTTTTTCAGTCACCAATTTTGAATCTGAAGGCCAAATTATAAAACAGATTATACAATCTTTTTCAACAAAGTAGTCTCGAGATTATGAACTTCTTTGAACATGAATATGTGTCGCCCACAAAATCCCAGCCCACGAGCTTCATCGAATGTGGTAAGGATAACGGACTAGGCAGTGTTGAGACGCGGCGAAATACAAAGCTTGGTAGCTTCAGGCGTGCGGAAAAGACAATATTTTGCATTTTCCTGTGCGGAACGGGCCAGTGCACAAATGGACATGAAACTTTAAAATATGTGGCACGCGATGCTGCGAGGGAGACAAAACAATCAAAAATCGCCTACTATTTCAAGAGCTTTTCGGCTTGTTCTACAGAGATGGATCGACAATCTGTGGGCGAGGGAATGCTAGAAATTTTAGGTAACGGAGGAAAGCCACCAATTAGGGTCGAAGAGCCCAGCATATTTGCAGCTGACATTAGAGGGCATCCCGGTGGTATTATTATTAATAGTATTGGATCCCCACGCCGACTGTCGAAATATTCTTACTATTGGTGAGCGGAGGATGTCTAAAAAGCTGCGTGATAAAAAAGCATCAAAGACGCATTTCTTTGTTCTTAAAAAAGTTAAATTCTCATCGTTCAGCTTGCTGTTGTAACATTTTGCAAATGAGAA